CCTGTTGTCCCTCTGTTAAATCTCCCAAATACCTTGATGAGTGTACTCTTTTGGAAGGAGAAAGAAAGAGAAAATAATAATAATGAACATCATGGCGGACATTTAATTAGTTCGACTGGCTTTCTTCCACAACTTTGGGGTTGCCACAAAAGGAAACAAAATAAAATGAAGCAGACGAGAAAGAAGGGAATATTTATTTGATCCCGTGGATATTAATGGCGGTTTTGTAGCTTTGAATGTTAAATAACTTCGTATTTCCGAGGTAGTTCAGAAGAAAAGATGTGTTTACATTTGGGGAATCATGCTTAAATTATTGTTTGAGCGTGATGAACAGAACAATGGATAAAAAATAGCTGATTAAAGATTTAATGCTGAGAAACGAAGCAGAATATTTAACGTTAACTCTTAAATACGCCTACTCAATGCTTGTTCATTAACAAAGGAAGCGTGAAAATTGTGGTATAATATTATATCATTAAGGAAATTGAATGATTCAGGAATTACTGTATATTTTTTATTTGGTATTTACGTATTCGATTCCCAAGAATTTAAAAAAGGATATATAAAAGTTGCACCGTCACAATGTCTTCCGAGTTTCAATAGAATTTGACAGATCGCATTTGAAATTAGGCAAAATGTAACCTGAAACGAGCAATGATTTTATCAAAAAAATTCTACGCATTTCGATGGATAATGGCATGAGACAGTCTCTCTCAAGAAGCAAAAAATTATCTTATTAGCTTACAAAAAATACGTAGTTTAATTTAAAAAAAATAATAATAAATGCAGAATAATAAGGATTCTGAACCAAAATAAACGGGATAATATGTAGCATTATGTTATTGACTGCAATAACACTTAAATTTTTCACAAAATTATCAGCTGGATATCTGTTATTTTAAATGGTGAAGAATCTGTATGAATGTACATTTGTATGTTCCTCGAACTGTGAAAAAATGGCGACACTTAGAACTACTGAATGCTGAACATGCGTAGTCCTTCACCAGAACTCGAAGCTAGAATTTTGAATTTCGATTTTTTTTTTTTTTTTTATTTCATACTTTGTACAAACTTAATAAAATTTTTATTATTAAATTTTGTGATCTGAAAGCCAACCGTAGTATCACTGATTTAAATAAAGCATATGTATCCCCAGCACCAGACCGTTGCCATTCGTCAAAATGTAAGATGTTTATCTTTCAGTTTTAATCAATAAACTCTATTTAAAAGCGGTGCGTTGCCATTACCCGAAATAAAATACTTTTATTATTGTCATTCAGTAAAGCCTAAAAGATATATTCTTAGGCCTAAGATCTAAGACTTTCAGATTTAAACCTTTGGTTATTGAGTACCAAACCAAGCGATTTAAAAGTAATCAACGCAGTTCTTCAAAATACTTTCTTTACTTTTTAATCGGATTGATTTAAATAAAATTTCATATAAATTATGAGATATTTAATTACAGTTATTAAAAATTTTTATGAAATTACACTAGCTGAACACACTAAAAACATTATATGTATTTTTTCTTTTTATGATAAATATATTATCATAAAAGTTATCATTCATATATTTTATGATAAATATATTATCATTATAACTGTTGTGCCTTTGGTCTCTGGAAACGAGATCTTTCTAAGCGCAACCCCCCCCACACACACACACACACACGATTGATGAACTCTGGAAAGTAGTGGAAGAGAAAGGAAAATCAATATCCCTGGAAATTTTTCGAAAAGGTCCATCTCTCATGGAAATCACGACGGAGATTTATAGTCCAAAAGACGGCTATCAAATCGAATATTAAAAAAAAAAGTACTCTTTATATTTTAAATATTAATTAAACAGTCCTGAAATTGTCTAAAAATAAAAGTAAACACCTTATATAGATTCTTATTTAGATCATTTAATTTAATATTTCAGGCAAACGTCGCAAAATTAAGAGTAAATATTTTCTATAAAAATTACTCCAAAAGTCCAAGGTTTTCGTAGTTTTAGTTTTCAAACTGGCGAATTAATCTTCCAGAAAATAGACTTCATTTTCTTTACGCAATTTAAGTTACCACATAAAATTCCAAAATTCAAACACATCTATAAAAATTTGTTTCGCTTACATTCTGACTAATTATAGAAGTAAACTATTAATTATAAATATTTTATATTATCAAAAATCATGTCTTAACTCTAACTGTTGTATTTCTATTATGTTCCAATAAAACCTCAAAATATAATAACAGGTATAAAAGTACCCATTATTCATCGAACTATGATAGCTTATTATCTTGAAGCTATTACATAATTTTCTTACATTCTATCAAAAAATTTATAAAAGCAAAACACGCTAAGAGAACGCGTCGAAACTTATTTAAATCGCCGTAACTATCAAGTAGTTGTGTGTCATCAACTAGATCCAAATTAGAAAAAGGGGGATATAGAAAAGGGGTGGAATTAAACAATAGCAATCCGAAACCAGACCAACCTAGGCATGCTTAAAGAGACATATGCATATAGAAAAAAAAACTTCGTACAAAAATAGAGCTAAATTCTTGTCAACAATAGACTACGACTTGTGAGCTAAAATAAGTTTTCCAGTCGCTTTCGAAAAGTACCTCTTCCCTTTCTAACTCCCCCACTCGTTTTTCGCCCCCTCAGATGTTACGACTTCGAATGTTTCGTTCCCCTTTCTCAACGAGATGGCTATGCAGTGGAAGCAAACGATACTTCTTGTAATGAGAGCTTTTATTGTACTTCTTTATCGAAGTCGAGAAATCGAGATTTCAGAAAGATTTATGTATGTTTTTGTTAAAAAATCTTTTTGCACATAGGCTTGGAATAGTTTTGTTATTCGAAATAAGATTTTATAATGACCAATACTTTAATATACGATAATTTAAATGTATTTTAAATCAGATTAAGTTCTATCAATAAAAAATATAATTAAAGAAAAATCATATTAAAAAGAAATAATGATACTTTATTGCAACTAATAAATAAGAAAAATATTTATGTACGTACGTTCGTAGATAAATATTGGCTCACACTGTGGAAAAACGACGGCACATATAGCCACCTAGTTTTGACCGAACATGAGCACCTCGAAGCCCAAATTTTGAATTTCGAATTTACTTTTTTTATTTATTTTATTTTTATTTCCTTGTACGAAGTAAAGGAAGTATCGTAATTGCGAAAAATTTCGGGTCTCATATTTCAGCAGAAATATCCATTTTGACCGTTCCCTAATCCATTTGGACGATTTTTTTCCGATGCTTTTGTACGTACAAACAGAATAAAGGACTCTTTTTTCCAAAGCAGACTGTTAAATGGATTTAAAGGCTTCAAAAACGATTTTTTTTCGATTCTTACGTATGTATGTATATATGTCGCATAACTGAAAAATGATTAGGCGCAGAAAATCGAAATTTTGTATATGGGATTGGTTATAGCATCTAGTTGCGCTCCTCCTTTTTTCAATTGCAATCGGTAGTACCAAACGCGTGTCTATATATATATATCTATATCTATATAGTACCTTTAGCCGACTTAAAAGTATTTACCTGGCCTTTAATTTCACAGTCATTGGCAGTAGTCATATACTTGCAGGACGATACATTCCGCAAGAGAAGAAGGGGAAGAAGGACCTTGTTTGTTTGCATTAGATGTACATAAGTCACGTGATCTCTGAGGTCATCTACATTGTTTGTTAACATTAGCTACCCATCAGTTACGTGATCTTTGAGGTCAGCGGAATGTACCTCATTATAGAAGTGTCTTAAATGACGAAAATATTCGTGTTTTGTTAGTGCCAAGGTTAAAAAAAATTAATTTTAGACAAATAACGAAATCTAACTACGTATATAATAACACATTATATCTATAGTTAGCCTAACAATATTTTATATTAGTTTATTGTTGTAAATGTCTTAATTACATTTAATATCAGTTTATTGTTGCAACAAAAAATGCGTATGATTTAATAGGCCGTGCAAGGAAATCATGTGGTGTCCACATAAGATTTTTTGGCATTGATTTAATGAATTCTTATTAATAAATTCAGCGATTTAGAAGCAAGCAGTGGCAACACTGTGAGATATGAATCGTTTTATTTCCAGCGCGACAGACTGTTGCCATTCCACAAAATGTTATTTTTTCAATTTTAATCAATAAACTCGACTATTTAAAAACAATATATTGCTACTACCTGAAATGAAATACATTTATCTTTTACTCCAGTGTATAGCCTTTCAGTTAAGAGACAGATCTCTAACTTTCATTTATCTGTTATTGGTGTATACGAGCCAGTTTCCCTTAGAAAGTTCTCCACGAAGGCATCCCTCCGTTTAGGCAGACAGCCCTCGTGTGCTTTGCCATAATTGAATAATACAATACAATAATACCTACATTTATCTGTTATTGAGTAACAAAGTAAGCGATATAAAAGCAATAAACGCAGTTCTTAAGAATACTTTTCTTCTACTTTTTAATTTGATTGATTTACATGAAGATTCATCTAAAGTAAGAAATGTCTATGATAGGTATACTTAGAAATATTAAATGCTTTAATGAAATTACATTAACCGGACTCATTGAAATCATTATATATTTTTCCTCTTTTTGAAATTATTTTAGAACGCTAGTTAATAATATGTAAAACGAATACTTAGAATGGAAAATGCATATGTTTATTTTAAATTGCTCTATATTAGACAATTGCTGGTTGTTTAAATTTTATAGATATATTTAAAATCACAGTTTTCCCGAATGGCAACACTCTGAGAATTATTTATGTGGATTCTAACAACCGGCGCATTTTATATGTGGATGTTTTACTGCTCATCTAACTGCATTTTAATTATACCCTAACACTTTTTGCATACAAAATATTATTTTTGTATCTTACATTACATGTTATTAACATTTTTTTTTATCAAGGTTCTCTCTTAAATAAGATGCAAGCATAAAACTTCTTTAATACAAATTCTTTTTTTCTTCCCGTTTTTCAGATATCAAGATGCATAACTCTGACCGTGACTGGCCGAGTGAAGAACAACTCTATTTTTGAACAAATAAGAAAACGAGAGCCAGATTGAAGAAGACGTACTATTTTTCGTAAGACAGCTGAACGCGACGACTGAACAAAAATGTCGTGCAACGTGATATATAAATATATATATTAAATATTAAAAATATTTATTTCTAAAATGGTGATAAGGAATGGCAGACGTGAAATGTTGAGAGTTCAAATGGTCATCTGTTTGAAGTTAAGCATATGGTAGAAACAGTTAGCAGCATTGCTTAATCATATTTAAATATAAAAATATATATTAAAATGGTATTTCATTTCATATGGAGAGAAACGAAAGGAAATTTTCTTTAAAAAAGTTTGTCTTATTCTGACTTTACAGGTACAGCATCATATAATATTTTCAGACACACAGATTGATCGAAAAGGATTAGAAATTAACAAATAGACAAATAAAATACGTCATTGAAAACATTTTCCTAACTTAAGCAAACTTTTGAAAATTCAGTTATCAAACTTGTATTTAAATTATGTACATTTTAAATTAAACCGATAATTAATCGAATTCGCTATAATTTTTAAAATCCCAAGGAAAGAACTTACATTTAAATTGTTTACAGCTCTAAGACATTTAATAAAAATCTTAATCGTTTTAAACTTAATCATGTTTTAGTGTTTAATAATAGTTTAATAACAGGTATTAAACAAAACTATATTGCTTATACCCATAAAATTGCTAGACTTTAATTTAATATATATATTTATATATGTAACTGTAATTTTTAAGTTAAAAATTTAATAGATTGTAAAATATTTAAGGACAGTCAGAAGTTTTAATTTCTTACTAATTAATTTTAATATAAATTATTTTAATTTGAGAATAGTTTTCATTCCTTATCAAATTAATTTTAACAAGCATGCATCCCTTAATATTAGTTTACGCCATTAGCTACATTTCTATCTAGCTGTTTTCTTTCAGTTTTTTTAAAACGATTTGCCAATTTTTTAAAAAATATATAAGTGTTACTAGCCGTTTGCGCTGCCAGCATCTTAAAATAATGTTTAAGAAAAGAAAAATTACATAATTATTTTAAAGAGTTCATCCAGAGTAATTTCTTAAAAATATTTCATATTTCTGATTATTTATTTCAGGATTTAAATGCATTTTTGTTTAAATAGAAAAAATTAAAAAGTTGCAAAAATGCTGTCTTAGTTTGTTACTCTATGACAGACAGATTTATGAAAATTAAATATTTTTCGATTAACTGAATGGCAGCGCGCTGGTGCATAGAAAATAAAAGTACTTTATTTCAGGCAGTGGGAAACTCACAGCTTTAAATAACCGAGTTTGTTGATTAAAATTGGAAGATTTTACATTTTGCTGAATGGCAATAGATTAGGCGTCGGAGATAAAAATATTTTATTTCGAACAATGTTGCCACTGTTCGCTTTGTAGAAAGTATGAAATAAATTTAAAAAAAAAAAAAAAAATTGGTAATTCAAAGATGCCATCGATTTTCCACAGTGCGCGGAATAGACAAACAAACATGCATACAAACAGATTTTTCATTATTTAAAAGTAGAGATTTAAATATTACGTACTAAATATCAAACATACGCTTAACTCCAACCAGTGATCCATTAACAAATGCCATTGCATTGTAGAAACATTCGTTGTGCAACTTATATAGAACGTCTAGTTTTGGAAGAGTTTTTATATCGTAAACGATACTTGTTTTGACGGTTGATTGCTTGTCTTTTGTCTTCTGTGTCATCCGTAAACATCTGTCTACAAGATGGCTACCGATGGTTGTGATGTTTATTGAATAGATATATTATGGTTGTTATCAGTTCGCAATTGCATCTGCTTAATGCTAGTGTTATACTGGTATCATTGTTGTCAGAAATCCGAGCACAGATTTGCTGTTAAAATATATAAACCACTATTAGAATGTATTGAAAAACAGCACATAATATATATAGTTATCCATATTGGAATTAAGCAAAAATAATAAATAAATAGTCATCCTGAGAAGTATTTACAGTCTAAAATTCATATAAATTGTTCCAAAATTTGGAAAAGATTTAATTTTTAACAACGACAAGATAAAATATTCTTGTAGGATTTTTAATGTTAACTGCATTTTTATAATGGATTTTATAAAACTGCACTGTGTTATATACAAAATTTTAGATTTATTTATAAAAATTCTTAAACTTGAACAACATAAGAAAATAATTTGTGAGCATAATTTTTTGCGAACATTTCCTTAAGAATTAAACATTTGTGAATATTTCTTTAAGAATTTATTTATTAATGAAATAATCCCTCATTTTCAGCTTTTCGAACTGCAGTTTTAAATTATGATTATGAAGTTTAATTTTAAATCATTTGTCTGTTTCATAGAGTAAACTTTTATTGTTTAATTTGCAGATAATAAAATTCGAAATATCATAAATTAGTTTTTATTATTATTTATTGCTATTAATGTTGTGAAAATCTCCGAATTTGACAATCACTGCAACATGATATTAAAAAATAATAATAAAAGATGTATTCATTTAGGTAATTTTTTAAAGACTTCAGTATTCACAAAGCAGCCCTAACAGACTTTAATATTTCATCATACTTAATGAAGTCCAGATATATTGAAGAATAATATACTCGTTCAATTAAATTTATAGATTAAAATTAATCATTTCGCTATCTCTAGTGTTTTAGCATTATCTGCATTATATTACTATTATCTTTGTTATAGGTTCGTCAGTTAAATTATATTTTAATTCACTAATTTAATTACATAATTATTAAACGAATCTTCATTTATTCCATTCATTATTAATCAAAAGCAAATAACTCGGCAAAACATTAACATTTTATAAAATATTATGCTCACCAGATATAATTTAAAAAATATTTTAAGATGGTATATAATACAAAGACATCTTTGTGGAATGTTTGAAAACATTCTACAGCATTTTCAGGATGACTAATGCTATAATTTATAAATGTATGGACAAATATGATGTTTGTACTGATTGCTTCTGTAAGCACGAGATAGTTCTATTTTTGTGCCAAAAAAGAAACTTCTTGTTGCCAATATATGCACTACTTATTACGACTACTATTTTTTAAAGATGGGTTATATTTTGACATTGTTGAATCAATAGTTGTTTAAGGTGCCACCGATATATATACATAAATATCTATATACATATATATACATACATATATACATATACTGTAAAATAGCTTGTAGCTTTGCACACTAACATTCACTACCTTTTCCCTGATGTTTGCTCAAGCAGTGCAAGAAAAATACATGACTTAATTTTTTTTTTTTTTTTTTTTTTTTTTTTTTTTTTTTTTTTTTTTTGCAAAATTTTCATTATTTTTTTTTTCTACTTACTCACCCATTTTATGCATGCTAGACGCATATGTTTGAGCAGGTCTTATGAGCTTTTCCTCCCTTGAAATTTAAATATATGTTTTTATTTTAAAAATATATCTATGGGACCTCAATTTATCAATTCTTATTTGAAATAAGTTGCCGCGAGTCACCTAAAATAGTTATCATAAAAGAATAAAAAGAAATATATATATATATATAAAATGATTTTAATGAGTTTACTTAGCATCATTCCATAAAAATACTTAATAATTCTAATTAGAAATTTCCTGATTTAAATGCATTTTTATTTAAATCAATCCGTTTAAAAAGTATAAAAAATATTCTTAAAAACTGATTTTATTGCTTTTAAATCGCTTGGTTTGTTAATAACAAATAGATTAAATTTGAATATTATATATCTTACGCTTTACTGAATGGCAACGCGCTAGCGCATGGAAGATAAAAGTCTTTTATTTTGGGAACTGACAACATAGCGCTTCTTAATAACCGTGTTTGTTGATTAAAACTGAAAGGTAAAGACTTTACATTTTGCTGAATGGCAACAGTCGAGCACGCTGTAATTAAAAATGTTTTATTTCGAATAGTGTTGCCAATGCTCGCTTTTTAATCGCTGAGTCTGTTAATCAAAAATCTATTAAATACCTACAGAACATTAAGTAAATAAAAAACCGAATTCGAAATTCAAAATTCTGGCTTCGAGATGCCCTCATTTTCATGCTTCTATATTTGTAAAAGTCTAAATAGGATAAATCGAGGTTTCCGTAGTTTGTAGTAAAAAAAAATTGAAGGTATTTTTATCATTTGAAGTGCCTAAAAATCTTGCTTATCACTTTTATCTTTATCTGAATTAGTTCTTAATTTGATTTAATTGCTTATAGAATCAGTTTGATAATAGCTGTGATACACGATTTAGCCAGGCATTCAATCAATTTTAGAATTTTTTTTTTTTTTTTTTTTTAATCAGGAGTTAGGTGACACCAGTTCCGTGCCATTGTCCCATTGTAAATATATTGTACATATGATCTTTATTGCTCAATCATACGAGTGTGATACGACTTTGAGTTGTACATAGTAGTAACTTCGGAGTGTACAATCACTTTGATGCGTCCGTAAATTCATTTCTTCCCATCAGTTTTCATTTTCATGCCAGCATTTTTTTTTTTTTTTTTTTTTTTTTTTTTTTTTTTTTTTTTTTTTAAGCTTGTGGGTTTACCCTTCTCCTCGAGTATAAAGGGAAATGGAATCATGAAATACATTTGTTAATATTTCATTTTTAGCATTCTGTTGAAAGATGCTTATCACATACGTTGTTTCGTCGCAATTCCTGAAAGGGTTTGTTAGTGAAATTTCTAAAATTCCTTATGCGTTGTGTACAAATCCGTGTATAGTTAAAGGTAACAAGAAATTTAAAGTTTTTTTATGATCGAAGAAAACGAAAAGAAAACTTTATTATATTGTTATCTCATATAAGTGTTATGCTGTAAATTTGTTGCCAAATTTTTAATCTGCGGTTGTGAAATATATGAATCTCTTGAAAGTTACTATTTCAATCTCTATAATTTTAGCGAATAGTGTTTTTCAAAATAGTAATAATAATTTTAAATTATTCATGTTATACATTTTGTATAGATCGCATTACAATGTGCCATAAATTTAATCTGCTTTTGAAGCATTTGAATAATTATTATAAATGATTCGCTCAAATGTGGAGACTCTGTCGTTATAACATTTACATTTTAATTTTTTTACGTGATTTAACTGCCAAATCTGTTTCTTTGTTGTATTTTTTGTCTTTAAAATATTTTTGTTTCATATTTTTCAATCATTTTGTTTGGAAATGGGAAAAAAATTGTAAAATTTTGTAACTTATAAAATAATTTGATGGTGTTTTTTTTTAAGTATAAATTTCTAACGTTATTAGTTTACTATAATATAAACCTACAATTACCAAATTATGTACTTTTTGTTTATTTTCTCCCATAACCACAAGCGTTAAAGTGAATTTTTTAAAGCAGATGAACTTTTTATTTTGAAAGCACACTTTTTTACTCGCTTTATTTGGATATTGTCTACGGCTGCACTTTGTAAACAATGGCTACAATTTCAATATTAAGAATTAATGCCCTGTAAAAAAGCAAAGACATGTGTCTATTTTGTTTTTGTTCCGTTCTGTGCCCAATTTATTTAAGATAAAGAGAAATTGTGAATAAAGATTTTTTTAAAATATTACTGTTTTCATTTTTGCTTACAGAATTACAAATACAGAGGAGTTTTTGTTTATTATTCTATTTCAAATAATTTGTATTCGGCTTACATAATCATGAAAAAAAAAATAAAAAATATGATATAGTTTGACCGCCTCATCCGCGACTATGACGGCAAGCACTCATGCGCCATTCCGACCGAATTATTCTCAAAATAGAGGTCTATTTATTATACAGGTCTAATTATTCTCAAAACAGGGTGGAGAGGTGGGGACTTTCTTATCCTCGAGCAGATAAATTCTCTCTTTCCGGAAAAGAGAAGATTTTCACGTGACCTTTCACGTCGCAGCAAGTAATAATGCTCCTTTTGGACGAGTCTATGTGTTTTGGCAGACTGCCAGCCAAGGTTGCGTTTGAGACGGTCGAACTATACTAGTATAATCCTATTAAGAATTTTGATATTCTTATTATGAAATGAAAAGAAGTTGACTCAAAATTCTTAAAAACCTTAAAAAGAAAAAAAAGTGAAATAAAACAATTTTTTTTTAGATTTTTTACATCTCGACCTTTCTTGTTTTGGGATTAAACACTACAAGCTCTTTTGCCATCAATAAGTATTAAAATTAAAAAGTTACATCGTCCAAAAACTTAATGTTTTTGTATTATGAGTGAAAACTACGCATTTAAATCAAAGCCATAGTTTTTAATCCTTGAGTGGCTACCTGCCTAAAATAGTAATTACAAAAAAGAGAAAATATGTAATGATTTTCAATGAACATTTTAGAAAACATTCAAAATTTTTAACTGCACATTTCATGATTTAAATGCATTTTTATTAAATCAAACAGATTAAAAGGTAGAAAAAGAACACCGTGTATAACTTTTGAATCGCTTGGTGGATTAAATAATCAGTAATAAGCTAAATTTAAAAGTTGGATATTTTACGCTTTGAAAAATGGCAGCATGTTAGCGAACTTCTTAATATATGGCAACCTATTTTCCTTTCCCTTCTTACACTGCGCATGAGCAGGAAAAAAGTCACATCGTTCCTACTTTCGCTTAATTATCGCTTTCAACAAATATGCAAAATTTCAAAAGGCGCCAATATGTAAATTCACGTATATTTTCGGAAATTTTTAGCTTTATTATTAAGCATCGCTTTTTATCCAACTTAACCACATGCATCTCAACAAAACCACAAAATTAAAAGCTGTGTAATAGCATATGTTTAGAACTCCTGACGCAGTGTTAACGGTTTGTATACACTTTATATTTTTCAGTCTTTTCTCAACTCATCAGTGTTCAGTATTATTAATGCTACGGCTTACAAAAGTTTTTTTTTTTTGGTCCTTTTTTATTAACTTTTTATATATTAACTTTAATTATTAAATATGAAGTTCTATTTATGCCCCATAAAATTCAATTCAACAGGAAAATCAGAAAATATTTAAAAACAATTTACCTCAAGAATTCCCGGAAGAGTTTTACAGGTTGCCATATTTTTATATTAGCTATATTATTTCTTTAAACACTACTCACTCACACATTCAGCTCTGTAAAATAATTATTATAAGAATGAAAAAATATATAATGTTTTTAATGTGTCCAGATAGTTTCATTTCATAAAAATATTGAATATTTCTAATTAGATATCTCATGATGTTAATGCACGATTATTTAAAAGTAGAAAAAAATGTTAAGAACTATGTTTATTGCTTTTAAATCGCTAAGTTTTTATTCAATCATCTTCAAGATTAAATCTGAACGGCAACACGCTGGTGTGTCGAAGATAAAAGTATTTTATTTCCGACGCGGCAACACTTTGCTTTCATAAGGCGAAGTTTGTTAATAAAAACTGAAATATAAATACCATCCGTTGTTTCGAATGGCAACAGTCTCGCGTGCTGGAGATAAAAATGAGTCAATGCTCACTTTCAAACCACTGAGTTTGTTAACTGAAAATTCATTAAATTTTTACAAAAGATGAAATAAATAATAAAACAAATTCGAAATTAAAAATTCGGGCTTCCAGGAGCACATGCTCGGGTGGAGAACTACACAATACCAAATTTGGTGGCTCAAGGTACCATCAATTTTTTCACAGTGCGAGGAACATGCATACATACATGCATATTCTTCATTATTTAATTTCTTTTAATATAATGTAGGGAGATAATATTTGGTGACAACAACCTGAGAAGTGATACTCCGCTTATAATGAACTAACTCAAAATCTTGTTTCGAGAGTGTTAGTCGCTTTTGGGCTAAAAAGACATTTATCTGTAGTAGCAAAACAACTCAACATTACCTCAATTTAACTGCTATCGTAAGATTCACTGCCCCTTCTTTCTTTCAATGTCAAAAATGTCAAAATTTCCATCCAAACTTTTTATCATTTTAACTTTGAATAGGGTTCTGTCTGACAGCTCAGTTAAAGAATTTAAATGGAATCCAAGAACTCAGCATCTTTGCTTTAATGTCCACGTAAACCGTAAGGAAAGAACCTACAGTGGGCCTTAAGAGTTGCTTATAATATCCATATTGTTCTAGACTGGGTGTCCCATTTGTTTCGCATCGTCTTTGTTTAGAGCAGACATAAGCGTAGTAGTTTTTTTTTTTTTTTTTTTATTAGCACTTGCGGAAATTCTGGAAAATATACGAAAAGTACAAAAATGCTTAGATTGAAGATATCCATACAATTCGGTATATTCCATTTTTATACCTTTGGAAGTTCGCTATAGCAGTGTAAAATAACATTGAGTGCATAGAAAATTATATGGGACAGAATGTTCGTTATATCCAAAACAGTTCGTTATATCCGACAATGACAATTCGTTATAAGCCGATTTCGGATTGATTATATTTAGAAGATACAAGTAAAATTTAGTAAAAGAAATACTTAAACTCTTGAGCTTTTTATTTTCTAATTACAATTTGGTGAAAACTATTTGAATAACAATTGAAGTGTTATACAATTTTTCAAAATTTTTTTTAATTCAAAGTGGGAAGAATAAAAGATTATTTGAGGAGTTAATATGAATAAATACTAAAGGTAAAAGCTACATT